GGAGTTTTTGTGCTGCAAGGGTCATCAAACTTGCCGCCAACGGATGTGGGCACCCTCCATCAAACCCATTGCTTAACACCGTGAAGTGTGCGAGAAAAAATGCTAAACAATGTATTTGTCTGAATTAGCCAAAGGTACCATGGAGGCCGATCGAGGGTGACAAAGTAGCACGTGAGATCTCGATCTGGGGCATTTCTTGAGATTAGAAACAACCTGACAACAATTTAGCACAGGAAGCTAGAGCTGCGAATCACGAAAGATCACATCAGTCAGAGTCCACGGCAGGTATTCTCACCAGTTAACACCCAAAGAGTGGACAAGCAAAGCTAGATACAACATAAGGATACTGCATACATATTCATAAATCATAAATCATATAGTAGTACAGCATGATACACAGAGATAGGTTTCGAATGGTTTCGAGTTTTGAGGACCATCTATCAGGAGTCACCTCTGCAAAGTCCTCCGATACTCAATGAGTTTCCATTGGAGATTACAAGCGGATGGCAAGGTCTGTGTGATTTCTTAGGCAACTTAAATGCTCACCATCTTTCCCGGTCAATCTGAATCTTCCTGACCAGGCCTGGCCACTGTACATCACAAAGCCACCGGACACCGCAGATCCCAGCCGTTCACCCACGAAGCATTCCACGAAGAGGGCCAATGACAAGGCTTCAAGATTATCCTCGGCTCGTTCGGGTGATGCACCAGAATGAGGTAGTTTTCCAAAAATGTGCCACCGATGAGGATGAAGTACACTATTCTGGGAAACCATGGAACACCTGGTCAATGTTATGTTTTTTTTTTTAAACGTCTTTCCACCGATTCATAATTAATGCCTTTTTTGTGAGCAACCCATAGCAGTTTAAACCGGGTGACTGACGCGGACGCGTTTGGAGACAAGACTAGCTCGGGGTCGTCCAACATTGTTCCAAAAAATGCGAACAGCGTGGACTAGTCCAACTATGGACCCTTTGGTGAGCAAAACATACGAAACACAAATGGTTTCTTCTGAGGTGGGTGTTTTGGGGCGGTTGCTCGTATCTGAAACACGGCTCACCAACCACACAAGATCGAACAGTAGATCTGCATCTGCTGGCACCAGGTGGCGCGGGATTACTATCCACATGGTCCGATGGCTATCCAACGAAAGCAAGAACCACGGATTGATCCAAACATAGTATGACCATCATGAACAAATTGTCACCTAGGACTTAGGAACATTACCAGAATCCAAAACAAAGACAAACCAAGTTGACTACACAAACTCCATCACACACAACGTGAATGATTTTGAATCCAAACGGACTCCGTTGCAACGAACGTCACCTCAGTCATCCTAAGTCTGTGTGAGTGTTCCTTGACACCACTAGTTCCCTATTGCGAGTACGGCAAGATTCTTGGATGCACTGGGAATTGGACATTGAGCAATTTCATGAACATGATCATTGAGCAAGGCAATCACTATAGTAGTTTGGAGGCCATCGCTTGTAGTTTGGAGGCAAGGCTCCAAGCGCCTCACCTGTGCCGCCAGCTCTTGCAGCACCTCTGCGGCTCGGTTCGCGTGGCTCGCCTCGTCGGAGGCTTTGGCCCGGTCGTCCAAGCAGCGACCTTCGTGGTGCCGAGGTCGGCTCGGGCAAATCTGCGTGGAACACTACCACCAAAAAAAGCCTGAGGAGCATAGACAATATATGGAAACATAGAAACATATTAGTCTATTGAAATGTTGTGTTTAGATGTCAGTTTAGTACATTTTAAGTAGTCGTTGGAACCAATGCATACCAGGATCCTCGACTCCAGAACTAGATGGTTTTGTTTTGACCCCACCACAATAGCCATCTTTGCCTCGGGAAAATTTGATATTTCCACATCCTGGGAGAGACGCGTGGTTGCAACAAAGTGCCTCTAGTTGGCCTATCTGAGGTTTCCGGAAACTCCCGGAGTCCTGCCAGGCACGAGTACGTGGTCAAAAACAGGGTCTTGCAACCCGTGGCTGCATGTCGAAACACATTGCTTTCATTATATATATATGTTATTTGCTTTCTGAGTTTCACGGCTTGAACATTTGCCGAGCTCCAGAAATGAACCTGACTGACTGCAGTACTCCCTCATGTCCCAATTGAGTGCCAAGGTACACCAACCTTTCAAACATCGTGAAAACCCCTTGATCTCCAGCAGGGCGTCTGCGATGAAGAGACTCTCACGCCTGACAAATTCTGGTCCCCCATTCCAAATCTGCTCATAAATACTAATGTTCCCACTAGTAAAAAAGACATACTGAGACTGATATACTGACAAAAGAAACAACCAAAACACCGTATCTGCTGATCGGCACACCTTGGTACAAAGGGAAAGAGCCAAGCGTGTTCAAATCCACAGCTCCCCACTGCTCAAGGAATGTGCAGCTTGATCGTCAAGGATTGGCACTATTGGTATATATTATTGATGTGCCCGTAGAGATTGGAATAGTAAAACAGCATGTCCTGGGTCACTTACCCAACCGGTTACATTTCGTCGGTCAATGGTTCCGAGGCTGCTTCCTCCGTCCTCCTACTGTGAACACGACCGACCTGTTCAACAGTTTCACCTCTGGGAGTGGTAGACACTGCATGCCAAGAATGGAAAGCGCATGCAATGCTGATGTTTAAGGGCACATATAAGGTCAAGCACAGAGTGCTACTAAGGACGGGAGATAGACCAAGTCCTCTGCCACCCCAAGTTCCCTAAATCCGAAGCCTGGAATGGCACCAATTGCTGCTCCAGTCAACTCTTCCATTTGAGGGACCTCCCTCCCACACCTAAAAATCCCATGTACAGTGCACCAAAACGACCAAGCGTCGTAGTATTGCCGGAGACCAACGAACTGAGCCATCTCCAAGCCAAGTCGCAGCTTGTGCCGCAGGAGCCCTTGTGCCAAGCGCGCCGCTGGCCGCGGAGCAAGATGTGGAAAAATCCTCAGGGATGAGCAAGACGTCCTAGAGGATCTGAGTAGAATGAGCTTATGTTGAAATGGATGGGAGGAAACGAGTATAGGTTGGGAGCCATGTCACCCTCCAAAACGATCGCTTGGAGATCTTTAAGACATTTACATGGAGAACATTTGAGAACATTATACAATTCACTCCGTGCATACATGCATACATGCTGTACCTTACGCAACAGGTGTTTCTTATTCATGTGTTTGTTCGGATTCATACAATAGCTTACACTGGCCCAAACAAGCAGACCCGCTTAGCCGCTAGTCCTGGATGCACAATATTCAATGCAGCCCACAAAATGACTGGATGAAGCTTCCACCTTTGCCACCAATCGATGGAACACCTTTGCCGTTCACCTTCAGAGATTCGTGCCGTAGCCGCACTGAAGAAAGAATTCTATTCGGTTGATGAAGAACATGCACATGAGCAAATATGAAAAGAGTGCGTTATTGGCAGAAGTAGCAAGCAGGTCCCTTGCGAACTCTACAAGTAGTTGCTCTAGTTTGCGCACCCCAACAAAGAATCATTCAAATCAACGAATATCCTAAAACCATCTAAAACCCTCTTCTGAACAAAGCTTCCAATAAGTTTGAAGCAACACCAGAACCACCTCCACATCCTCATCCCACCTCTCCCGCGCCTGGGCAAAGCCTTCAAAAGTCCTCGTAGGTCCAACTCTAAGGGTAGCTCGCTGGAGACCTCAGGCTGCTGGTGCCGGTGGTGTAGATCGTAGAGCTCAAAACGGGTGTAATTATGATGTCACTATGATTTGGACATTGTTAGATACATATCTGTATATATATATATATATTACATATATAATAGATCCCTCATGGTAAAAGAGTGGGCTAACCGTGCGTAGTCCCTTAGTGACGTGCGTTCCACACTCATCACGACCTTCTTCGGGGATCCCATCCCTATTTCGATGACGAGCGGGTGAGGTTCAACACCCAAAAGCAAAGCACAACAGGATCAGGATAAGTAGCAGGGACCTCTGTTCAAGTCATGTGCAGGAACAGGTTCAACCCATGAACACAGTTTGCAGCTCTTGTTCTTGCCGTCTTTGGAGAAACTCTTGCTTTACAGTGCTCGGCAGTACAAGCTCTTGCAAAACTGTGCTGAATGAAAAGCAAACGCATATACCAAATCTACGCGATGCTGCGAGCTCGCTCTATTGGTCTTTTCCGCTCCTGCTAAACCGGAGGGCCCTCTGGAATCTTTCACGGTGCTGCAATCTGCGTCGTGCTTGAGACGCTCATCTCCGTGAGACGGTGGAAATCGTGAAGTTATGAGCAGTTCAACCCTGGAGCGTGTGACCCATGGATACAGCTGCAGCTAGCTCACACAATGTCAGTTAAATAGACTCCTTGTTGCAAGGCGCTGGACATCCACTTGTGCATGTTTCTTCCAAAGCAACCGTTGAGAACTGTTGTCAGTGACAAGATGACTTATCTTCGTTATCTTGATAACATGTGATAGCAATCTTCTAGGGGCTGGTTTCCAATGCAATCATACAAGTGTCCAATGAATTGTCAATGATATCTGCCCTGTTTGCCACAACATGCTCACCTCACCAGTCCCCTACTTCCAAGAAGGAACTTAGATGGTGCAAGTGAGGCAAACAGGGAACACATACAGCTGCACCCAAACGATACCGGCCTGGAGATAGTGACCCGACCCCCTCGTTCAACTTGGCCAGCTAAAGCAAATCAAGTTTTCTGTGATACTGTGCTGCATTGAAGAGCCACTATTCCACAAGCAAGAATGCACACGCAATTGAAAGTTCTTTGTCGTTCAAAAGCACGTGAAGCACCTATTCAACCTGTTCAAGTAATGCGTTAGTTGACAAAATCGCGAGCTTGCGCTAGCTGAAGGCCACCCTTGACTGCAATTCACATTCGCTTTGTACATCATCGAGCGCTGACCACTTGTGTTTCGCAACACGTCTCTTTTGGATGCTTGGTTTTGTTTAAGAAAGCTGGACAAAAATAGCACAATGAACAAACATGACTCCATTTGTGGTTATCGCTCCCGTCGGTTGAAGAACTGGGCCATGTATTTCCAATGCTCTTGGACGGTCCTCGCGGAGGTCCAGTGCAGTCATGAAACCCAGTGAACACAGAAATGGCGTGGATTCGTGGATGTTGGAACAGTGGCAACCAAATCCCAGCTTCCAGAAGAACTGTTTAGTACAGTGAGTTCAGAATTGTATCTGGACACTTGTGTTCAAAAGCCTTTCACATCAGGATGCAAGCAAAACCCACGTTGGATGTCTTTTGGAGTGTTAAGTTTTGATTAGCCGGCACATCCATTTGGAGTCCCCTTCCATCTTCCTGTTAATGAAAGGATTCCGGCTCTACCAACAGAACATGGAACAGCCAAACCCCCAGGCTTAAAATGAAAAACATTTGTTCACAATCCTGGGGGGGCAAGCGTCCTCAATGCATCATCCCAGTCCCCATCTGTCCTCATCCATTCGCCATCATCTTCCGTGTGCTCCCAGCTGGGCCCAAACATGCCCATGCGTAGATCGGCATTCGCTTGGGCCAACTCCTCGGTTTCAGTCCACTGGAAGAGTTAGGACAACTGGGGTGCCAGGAGCTCCTAGTAGCGCCCTTGCTCCTAGTAGCGATGCCAGGAGCCCTAGTAGCGTCCTTGCTCCTACCCCCCCCAAGGATGGAGATCTTCCAGCCCCAAAGAGTCACTGCTTTTGGCCAAAGAATCGAACCGATCCAAGAAATGACACAGTGCTGCAGTCGTAGAAAAGCTGCGTTGGGCTTGAGCGACCGGTTCTAAAGTTGATCATTTGGGATTTTGTACGATCTTCTGAATTGATTCTCCTGCGTCAAAGAGTGTGTTTAGCTTTGTGGGCTGAAAGCACGCTTGGCAACTTTACCTGCTACAACGTTTTATACGGTTTTCTTATTATGTTCATCAAACTTGGACACCGCTTGGCCCCCACTTCGCCCAACCATTCTGACCATCTTCTAAATGACCTATATTCACCTGAACACATACATTGCAAGTTTCCCAGTCTTTAATGTGCCTGCCAGGGTTTTCTGTATTTCGTGGCATTTGATTCTTTCTATCATACACGAACACACACACACACACAGGGGAGAGAACTGTGACCGTACGATACGCTTGCTGAATGATTCAGCACGGGACATCCTGACAAAACCGGGTGGCAAAAAATGTCCTTGGACACCCAGGGTACGTCTGGGTACAACAGGACCTGCTAATATTTTTGCCCCATCAACGACCTCCTGAGTTGAAGGGAAAGTAGTCTTCCAAACAGCCAATGTCCATCTCTATTGCTGGACAAAGGGTCACATGCACAATGTTGTATATCAAATCTGGAGGTGTAGTGTTGTTGAACATGTTGAACTGAGAATTAATCGAAACGTGAAGCTCTGAGTGAACTTGCGACAGCAGTAGCAGTCAATATTAAAGCTATGCTCAAATTGGTTTAGAGGGCGATGCTATGCGATGCGAACCTGCGATGTTTTGCGTTTTTAAACGGATTCATGAAGTTGCCAACGCCACCCAAGGCTTTCTTGGCTCATCCAACCCTTTCAAGACCGGTGGCCTGTTGTGAGTTCATGATAATGTTGGCGCCCATCGCCACCGGCTCATCTAAGGGCGCCCCTGACGTTCGAGGCCGTGGCCAAGGCAGTCAAATCCCAGCGGAATTCCCGCTCGCCAGGTTTGGAACTCGTGGAACTGTCTTTTTCTTGAGGATACACATCGGGGGTTTCATCCACCCACTCACGTGTCGGAGATCTTCCCACCTGCCAAGATCAAGACCTCTGCTGGGTCTTCTCCAGCTGCCAAAGAGACCTCACTGCAAGAGCGGCTCAGGGTGGCAGTGTTGTGCACCGGCAACTGCTCCGTGTTCACCGTCACTTCACCTCGCCGCGTGTACCTCACTCCGGAAGGGATTTCCGGGATCGCATATCGAAGCACCACGAGGTTTGTCACCAGGCGTGCAGGTCTTATCCGTGACATCTGACATCCAAGTCGCAGAAACCTCCACATGTACGCGATCCATCTGGGTCCACGATATTCAAAAAGGACAACTGGGAAGGGGTGATGATTAAAAGAAAACAACAGCACATGTATATCATTGCCTGTTGGATTTCGTAAGATTAATGAACAACTTGAACTATTTGCGTCTGGAGTGCCTGCCTGCACTACTGAAAATACTAGTGTATTTTCCAATTGGGGTACACCCACACCCTAACACATTAGCTAGGCCATGGGGATTTATATACAGTATATAGTATAGTTATATGTGTCGTATGTGTCACGTCGGTGAAACATGATTGATATCTGAGGAACAAAATCATAAACAAATCCAGAACCTCGCCTCAGTCGGTTCACTTCTGGAAAAAACAGAACAAAAACATCCAGTCCAAAAATAAGGGGAGTTCCAAAACCCACCTTGGGTCTATGCTGCTTTCGCTCTCCTAGTCGTCTACAGTACTTTCAGTTTTTACAAGGTGGAATTTGGCTTGGTCTTGGCAGCAAATGTAGTAGGTCTTCTGACAAGTCGTCCTGCAACACTCGTGGATCTCGTGTTACATAGTTGTCAACACAAATCAATCCTCCCAATGCTCATAAAACGGGTCGCAAAAAAACAATCCTTGCAAAGCAAAGGACAAACCCTATATACCAACCCTTCCATCTGCCGTTACCCTTTGAGTGTCCTAAACACCACTCTTCCGTGGAACAATACATGGACTACTAAAAACCACCAAGTTGGACATTGGCAAAAGTTAGGATTCTCCTGTCTTCGGCGATCCACTTGAGCCAGCATTTCATAGCATTTCTCCAAAGTGCAGTAAACAGGTCCACCCAATAGGCTTAGGCCATGTCCAGACAGACCGCGGCTCCAGCGACACATGCAGAATGGCCAAATCTAGCGCGTGTGGAGCGAAATCTTCAGTCACATGCCGGCTCACTGAAATCCTCACGCTGTCCAAACGAAATGGAGCCCAGAAAATAATCCTCAAAGACGGGTGAGATTCTGCCATGTTTGGACACAGGAATCGACTACCAAAGAGAAAAACATCATCCAGGACAGCATATGACCATACAGTCATACAGCAAACCACATGGTGTGTTCCTTCAAATGATGACCTGTTCCAGTGTCAGGGACGGACTGATCATCGCCCCATTAAAGATATCTAACAGGTTTGGGGTGCATCCATCCCCGGTTTCATCGTTGTGCATGAAGTTGGCCTTCTCATCCAAATGGTGAAACCAACTGATCATACTGCCAGTTGACAACTGGAATGGTGAAAAGAAGCGGAAGAGAAGCGGACATCATCGAACATCACCCTCATATCTGGCCACAATGCCCTTTATGCCCCTTCGCGAGCTTGTGAGGGTGGATCTAAGGGTCTTACAATGTCAAACATCTCGTGTTTGTGATCCACCGGAGCTGTTCCTGTGGGATAGCAAATCACAAGAAAGGGTTCACCTGCTATAATTCAAATGCCAGCAGTATTCGGGGAGGTCCCTCTGTTTGGAACAGATTACAAATGACACTTGAACATCTATAGTGGCGTCTGTTGGCAGGTCATGACTTTTGCTCCAATTGGATTGGGGCGTGTGGCGGCTACGTGTTGACACGCTTCAAACGCGCCCTGCACTGCCTGAATAGGTCTGGATGGGGCTCGAGACTCCATCAGCTTCACCAGCAATGACTCCTTTTCATGCAACCCAAGCAGCAAACCGGTGCAGGAAGGAAAGCTGGTGTTGGAGTTTGTTGTTGGGCATTTGCAGTGTTTGCTTTGGCAAGCAACATTACAAACATCTGGTCCATCTTGCAAATGTCAAAAGTCCAATCTGGGAAAACAAAATCGTCGAAATGTCTAAATCTTATCAGTCTTATCTTCAATCGCAGGACTGGTGAGGCGGAAGCAAGTTTGGAGTCAGGCCATGGGATTGGTAGAAGACGAACTGAAGAGGGTCAAAAGTAGAGGGATGAGGATGTGTGAGGAAGCCCCCTGAAGTCAGGCCTTGCAGCTGGACTTGTTCAACCTAACTTGGAGGTCAAATGCAACCAGGAAACAAAATACTAATTGGATGGACACATACGCAAACTATGCCGTCGAAAGCTTGCAATCATTTGTACATAGCTAAGTTGCTGAACTGGGAGTCCGGAAATTGTTGGCTTGAAAGATCCAGAAAGATTAGCGGCTGGCTGCCAGCTTCTTGATGGTACAGACTCATAGTAGTAGTCCGTTTGTCTTTTGGAAACCGCACGCAATCGAACTGTTGCCAAATGCACAAGCGGCATTCTGTATACACAATCTCAATAATATATCCTACACTTTGTTAAAGGGGGGGGAACCAAACAAGAATGGACAGCAATGGCAATTAGTCTGGATTATGTAAGAGAACGCGCAAACAAACCAATAATTTCTGGTTCTTTGGGAACTTTGGGACAGGGGCGAGTTGAAGTACCCACGATGAAAAACAAGACATCATAGGGGATTCCCCACTCCAAGCACAACACGCATGAAAAACCAGACGTGCCGTACTGAGATGTATTGAGGTCCACAACTGTTCGATGTTCAGGTTCAAAGAACATACACAACCATTTGTGCATGTAAAACCGAAACCTCTGGACAGAAAAGTGTTTGTGTTGTTTTCAAGTCCTGTGAGTTGGTCGTTTTCTATCGGATTCTTTAGTCATTCTGGTTTGGCAACATCTCAAGCACAAACTTTCTTCTATCCGAAGAACATCGAAGAACTTTCATCATTCAGCTGTGTGTCGGACAGTGACTCCCTTCGATGGCTCGCTCGTCGGCACCGGACCTGGCCGTGACAATGTGGGAGTTCCATGGCTGGAAGTCTCGAGGCGGACCTTAGGATACTACTAGTAGCAAGAAGCTATTAGTAGACTCCTTAGTAACAAAAAGCTATACTAGGAACAAAGGGCATTCCTACTACCTTAGGACTGTTGCACTGGAAGATGTTAAACATTGTTAAACATTGTTAAACATTATTATTAACCATGCTTAAACATTATTCTGGGTACTGGTAGGTTGAATCCAGTGTCCATAAACATGATTTCCCGTAGAAAAGTGTGTTCGCTCTATGATTCAGGCTCTTTTAAGATCTCTTGAGCTCTGAACAGAAGCCCGACCCGTTGAAAATAGACTGTGAGAACCAAACCATTTCTTGGGTTCCAACGTGTTCCAGCCATCTTGAATCCACTATGGAACAACAAGGATCGACCAAACTGCAATCTTTATCCAACGTGATTGGCGCTGATGTTTCCCCACAGTTTCACCACCTGGGTGTTCTTCATTACGATTTACGAGTTCCTTACTATTAGAAACGATTAGAAATAAAACAAAACTAAATTAGATTTAAATCAATAGCTTTTTGTTACTACTAGTAAGGCACTTGTTACTACTAGCGTGGCACTTGTTACTACTAATCCCTGGGTGCAACTGACCACTTGTAGAGTCTCGCAAAGTCCTTGTGTTTGGAAATCCCTTCTGCCACTAAGAGCTGCCCAAAAGGACCACTGCCCCGCCTCGCTCATGCACTTCCACAGAGGATTCGGGCCCCAACATCTGCCGCGGCAGCTGGCTACTTCCATCGATGTCCAAGTCCCCCAACATCTGCATCCGCGGATCCTTGGAACAATTACAGTACTGCATTCATATAAATATACTTGAATCACTACTAGGAACAAGAACGCTACTAGGAGCAAAGGACGCTATTAGGAGCAAAGGGTCCAAAGGGTCCAAAGGGTCCCAGGGTGGGTGCGACACCAGCAGTCTGTCAAGTTCTCGCTAAGAACCTTTGGGGCCAGGTCCCGTTCTCCTGACGCAGTCAGCTGACTCAGCTGACATGCTCTTCACCGAGCTTCGTAGTTCGTAGAAGGAACTCTCTCTATATATATATATATATTTTTTTTTCATTTTGGAGCAACTTTGCCGAAATCAATTATCACTAGTCACTAGCATGTTGATAAGTCATCATAAGTCATGTCAGTCAGTTTCTTCATGATAAAAGTGCCAATCTGCATAGGTGAGGAAATGTGGCTAGGTGATGCTAGGTGCAAAATTGGTTCAACTGATGGCAAGCTGTTGCAAGGTTGTTGCTGTCGCAAATTCTGATCCACTAAAGTGCAGCCCGAACCCGCCGGTCCATCGAGACCAGGCATCCACCATCTTCTGCTTCTGTGGGAGATTCACCCAGATCTGAAAAAGCCTCAGATTGAAGAAACACACCATGTTCTCTCTCACGTCCCATTCTTCAACCTTTACCCCTCCCCGGAAACAAACGTGACTCGACGTAAGCATGGGTTTTTTCAACGAAAGTGACTCGACCGGACCCCGGACGTCTTTAGCCTCCCCCCGCTACTGGGAACAAAGGACATCGCTACTAGGAACAAGAACGCTACTAGGGGCTCCTGGCCTTACTACTAGGAGCAAGGACGCTACTAGGGGCTCCTGGCATCGCTACTAGTAACAAGAAGCTATTAGCTTATTGTTTCTACTAGCTTCTTGTTACTACTAGTAAGGCACTTGTTACTACTAGCGATGCACTTGTTACTAGGAACAATTGGCGCTTTCCCAATCCTTCGGATCCGAAGCTCTGGATCCGCCCGGACGACGGGCGGATCGACGTGGATCCGTCCGATCGGTCCGATCCGTCCGTCGAAGAGCGCCGAGAAGCTCTTGGTCTGAACTTTCCCACTCACCTCGCAGGCAGGAAAATCACTAGTTGAAAGAGCCGCAGTGATTAGCTTTGTGAAATCACCACCTGCATCCTTCCAAGCACCTTTGAACATGGACTCTACCCACTAGGCAGTTGGATGTTCTTGGACTTTTCATGGATGTTTCAAATCTTTCTCACCAAATCTCAGGCGTTGGGGCCTTTGGGGATGCGGGATGCCTCTCCGAGCAATCAAAGTCTGACCTGGTTAGTCTTTGGACACCGGTGGTTGTCTCCTTTGGGACCAGCAAATACCTACAGTTGTTTCCAGTTTCCTGGATCCACTGGGGCAGTTCCCTCAACACAACGTTGCCCGTTGCCCAACTGGACCTCCAGTTCGCCACATCTCCTCGTGCAACAAACCTCTGCCGGCAGTCATCCATTGCACGGCAGCGCCCTCACCATCTCCTGAGGCATCCTGGCGGCGTCCCAAACCAGCAACGTATAAGAACGGAAGTTCTACTGCACTAGCGTGAATCATTGATCAGTTTGGAACAACACACTTTTCGGACCTCTTTCCTGTTCTTAGATTCTCTAGCCCCAAGTCCTCTCCCTGTCATGTGGTTCAGACGGCCTTGTCTCCAAGTCTTCAAAACTCGCAACAAATAAGTGATTTCAGCAACGCTTCCTCCAATCAAACGTTTTTGTCAAGAACATGTATTCGCATTGAATCTCCCAAAAAACTCAAATAGATCTGATTTCTCACCCTCTTCTAAACCTTTATGATGTTGGTCAAGCACAACGCCTGCTGCACTGCTGCATGGAACTTACACTTGAAAAAAACATGAGCAACGTAAGCTGGGAAATTGTTCACAAATCTCTCCTGTGACACGAGGAGTCTCGGATCAAATGTCATTACTACTAGTAGCTATTGGCTACTAGTAGTAATGCCCTTGTTACTAGTAGCGATGCTTCAACCAGCAAGTGCCACACATGCGTTTAGCGTCTAGGACACAAGTATATATACGGGAAGGTCTTGCACAATCTAGGCTTAGAAGGTTTCGAGTGCAGCTGGATTCACTTTTTCAGTAGTGAGTCTGTTTTAATTTTGGCAGTGGAAGTACGCCCATGCTGTGCTTTGTCAGTGTACCATGACATCTCGCAAGTTCATTTGCAAAGTAGTCTCGAGATGAAAGATTTGGATAGCCAAGCCACAAAGGGGCTGGATGGGAAGTGAAAAGACCGGCACTGTGTACGAGCAAATATGCAGATGCATCCTTTATCGATTAAGACTGATGCCTTGCACAAGGAACTAAAAGGCAAAAGTAATACTGTATTAGGGTTTGGGAGTGGAAATTGGAGCAGAGTTGAACAAATGACCACAAATTTGGCTGAACAAGAGTATACTTGGAAGTAAAATGAATAGTAAAAATACAAACCTAATGAAATAAAGGATGGAAGTAGAGGATGAAGGGGACACAAACAAAAGATATATGATATATGATATGATATATGTGTAAGCAAGTTCAGAAAGAAAGAAGAGAGCGAGGATTCGATCAGTTCTGAACATGCGAGAAGTGGAAAAAGACCCTTGCAGAAGTATTGTGTATATAGATATATTAAACTGTCACAAACACACACACACACACCGCACCCTGTAAAGACATGTGCACAACGATATGGGAGTGGGAGGGGGGTACCATAGATTATACAGCATATATTTCTGTAATTCGACAATTATAGGCTCTCCACCACCCTGGTCCCATCCCATGCCGCCTTTTGCTCCAAAACCACGGTCCCGACTGGCCTTTGGCGCGCCATAGGACTTCTTGACGCCTCGCGAATCTCGATGTACTAGGCCCCCGCGGAGCACATAGGTCACGGTCTCGAAGCCACGATGAGGATGGGCAGGAAACCCCTCCGGCAGCAGGAAGCGAAAGAGGTACCGCAAGGGGTCCTGGGCGAAGATGGAGACACATTGGGGGTTGGACGCATCCTTGAAAAATACATCAATCACCAATTTGTGATCCATATACTGACGGTTGTACGTACTCCATACCTCTTACAGGTTGTTGATGTCAAACAACCAAGTGGAATGATGTGGAATGTGCAATTGACCGAGACAATGGATGTTATTGACAAATGAAATCTCTTCCTGTGAGATTACGTCCTTCCAAGAATGAGCGCCGCATTGTTTAGATGAACCACATTTCAATTGAGCAGAAAAGTGCCAGAACACGACAATCGACCATGCTATAGGGCCTTCAGGTTTGACAATCCCACTATGATTTATGCACGGGTTTGCATTCTGAATCTCTGGCGCTGAGTTGCAAAGGCGAAGAAGGAATGGCGATGGTGTGCCACCAGCAGAAAAGGATCCGTGGAGGCCTTGACCGCATCGTTTCACCACCCCAGGTGAGGTCAAATCTTGAGGAAAACCGGTCTCTTGTCCCACCAATCTGTTTTGATATGATTCAGCATGTCATGTCTAACATCCTCGTCTCAGCGAGGAAGGTATAACAATCCGTCAGAAGAGCTTTAGCCCCAATAGAAACAACTACATCCTACTAAAAGCAGAGTGAACATGATCGATCCCCCGACAGCTACACTGTACTTGTATCAACGTGAGCCACCTCTTCGGGTGGACGGTAGATATGTCAAAATTGATTATATATATATATATGTGTACATACTGGTGACATACTGGGTCTGTTTCGCCATGTTGGAGTGCAAGCGGATTGTTCCAAGAGCCTAAACTCGACTATGTCAGCAACATGCAGACTTAGACCATTGCCCCTCTTGCAACAAGAGGGTCCAAGCAACATAGAAATAAAGTTCCTTAAGGTTGTAAGGCCCCCCTTCTGCAATTCCAGACTTGACCAAGTCACAACACAAAGAAACACAGAACATGATGGCGCCCTTTAGTAATGGGGCCTTATTCAAGGAGCCCTAGCACCTTTTTTCCAAACAGTGTGGTCACACTAGGGGTCTTACGGTCGCTTTGATCCAGGGTGCTCTCCGGTGTGTGCGGCCAATTCGATGCTGTTTACGGCAAATCCATGCCTCTCGAGATCTTCGAGGTGCATTTCCACTGCTGAGGCTCACACAAACTGTGGTGGGAGCTTTTCTCGACTGCGCTCTGGTTGTGGTGCCATGCACATTTTCGTGGCAGGTGCAGTACACCGTGAAGTTTGGACAGTGGCGTGATATTGAAATGTTTGATGATAGCAGTGTCGGGCACAAATTTGGAAAGGCGTTTAGGCTCAGAATTCGGGGGCGCATCACTTTGTGAACCACCACATGCAAATTGTGTGGCAGGTGCAGCACTTCGGTGGTGATTTTGTGGCGTGGCAAGCACAGCACAGCACCGCACTTTGTGATCCTCGATGCGCACAAATTCGTGGCAGGCGCGGCATGACTTGGTGAACTTCGAAGTGCAAAAAAGTGCTTTCATATTGTGTGTGCTCTCGCCTGTGTGCTCTCACACATCTGTGCTCGCATAGGGTTGTGCTGCTCTCATATGTGTGTAGTCGTGTGTGTCAACACCTCTCCAAGGAAGATGCACGGACGAATTAAACTGTAAGGAATTCCTGCACGATCAATGCAGGGGCGTACGGCTCGTCATACCCACCGTACCCAACGAAGCTACGGTATGACGAGGGAAGGGTGGACTGATCATCCACCTGTACCTGCTTTCTCACCAGTGATGATTTAAACAATATTGTTTCGGACTTATTCGCCTTGCCGTTCCCTTTCAGGGCTGTTTCCCAGGTCTCAGGCAGCGCTCTAAACCGGTATTGTAATCACTATAGAGTGGATTGCCTTAACTGATTTAGCTCTTGCGAGCATCAATCTAAGTGTATGTGCTCTACAGTGCGGAAGTTCGCTTATTTATGCTTATTCGACCTTGTCTTGTTCTACTGTTTGGGGTTGCTTGCTGGGATAATCACCAGGTCACATCTCCGGTCACCAAGGCGCCGTGTCGCGGAAGATCATGGGACACACCCGGCCGCCAAAGCGGTCTTCCAGCTTGGCAGAGAAGCTCGGTTGGAAGATCAGGTCCTAAGGGTTGGCCACGAAGCTCGATGGGGTCATGCAATACAGCAGTAAGAGAAAGAAACATACTTAAAAGAGGAAGGTCAGGCACCCTGCTTCATTTCTTGTGTCTTCATTATGTTCTGTTGGCAGGGGATATTGCTCAATATCCCGTATCGTTGTCTAAGTCTAAGGACGAACTCAAAAATCCCAATGTCTCGTAAAAGGCACATGAAACATAAAAGTCACACGAAGTAAGCGACTGTAATATAAAGAAAATGAAACAACTCCCTGGAACGTCTGCCGAAACGTCTTGTTAACGAAGAGGACATTTTTGAGGGTGGCCGATCGCTCTTGCAGGTCCCAACCACACTTTCAACATAGCTGAACGTGCTAGTATCCAACAACTGCGGCGGTGTACTTGTTGCTTTTGATGGAGGTGAGTGACTTCTGCAGCTTTTGTCCAAATTCCTGAAAATTCATAACCGCTCTTTACTAAATCGGACATTGCAAGTTCTTGGTGGAGGCTCAATCGGATCCCAACAATCCAGAGGAACCTGAAAGTAGTTCAAAGACTTCCGGAAGTCAGTCCCGCCCAAGATCCGCTTCAATATGAGAAAAAGGCCGGGGGGTAACAATGAAAGTACCACCAAACGTCATTGCTAAATTACCAAATAACTCCAATATACATCGTTCAAATCAAAAGTCCAAGGTCATGCCATCCTGGAGCCACCTTCACTTCCCTCGTCGTGCAGTGTCTTCTTCAGAACATGCTCAAAAGGTACTGAGCACACCCCCGAAACTCATGAGATCTCATGAGTACCTTCTAAGAAGGTAGCCCGTGGGCTAGCATACAAAATTGTTCCGGATGCCATTCAACAGCTTCCCTTCGTCGCTTGTGCTTTCGTCGCGGCTCCAAGAGGATGTATATAACACCGAACCATGCCGGCCAAACCTCACGTCAGCAGGACAACACTTTTGGAACACTCCAAGCAGGTTTGAGCCAACCAACAAAATTCACTACTGTAACCAAAGACAAGCATGCGAAGCTTTAAGACCAACAGATATATAACTCGTCATCAGCTGACCCCTAAGTTTTTTGCAGGCATCAAATCAAGGTGAACGGTGGAATGCTTCGCAAAGCTCGCAAAACATACAATTCAATTGACAAGTTCTCCTGCACATGTGTCCCTTTAGCCCTTCACGATGCACCACCGAACCAATAGGGAATACATACATTCCAAGAAACAAAACAAGGCGAGCGTCTTACAGTATACAGGACCCTTCATTTGGATCCCGACAGACCACAGGCAGCCCCCGTGATTCGGAAGACCCTTCCTTAAGCGGTCGCCTCTACCCAACAATCATGCAAATGACAAAATTGGCCCGTTGGAAACCCGTTTTCCATCGTTTTCCTCTACAAACAAGCGGGTTTTCCACTTCTATGGTACATGATTCTCTGAAACAGGGTATTACTGATCCTCGTTTCAGATCAGCCACTGGCAAGCGCGGATGCTTCACCACTGACTCCACAAACGTTCCAGGGGCTGTTGGACTGGCCACCGCTGGGCTTGCTCGAAGACTCGTGGAACGTCTGGGCGTTCTTGCTGAGCTTTGAAAGGTTCGTGCTGATAGGCCCAAGAAGAGGCACAGCCTCAGTGGTCCAGTGAAATGCCCTCCAGTTTCCCCAAAACACTAATATATACATGGTGCTGTCTTTTTCCGCAAACAACCTGTTCTGCTCAGTGGATAGGTCCTGGTTTGCGATGCACTGGCAGAATCCATCTATACCTTCTGACCAAAGATGTGTTTCATTGTGTATAGGTTTGTGATTTGCATTGAATCCATGTTGATATTAGGGAACTGCCAAAGTCATGGATGTCATAGAGACCGCCAAATGGATGGGTGGCCTACCATACCATACCAATGGAAAGAAAGTGAATCCCCTCACAAGCATACTCAAATGCTGTTTCTATAAACAAGTTATGAGAAGCTTCTGCGCAAACCATACTGCCTGAACCCTGAACTTGTGTGGACCATGGATGGAGAAACACCTGATACTTATTTGTTAAGCAACAATTGCAGCAATTGCGCCATTTAATGTTCCTGGGGTGTGGATCACCACAAACCATCCCAATGTTCTTCTTGGGAGCAACATGTTTGGCTGCAATTGGATCCGCGTCCACGTGACGATTCCACCGAGGAGACCAAGGCGGACCAAGGCACCAGAAAGCTTTGCGCCATGGCGGACGCATGGCGTTTGGGCACGACTTTGGTACCCCGAAGTGCCAAGTGCCAGGGCACTCAGCAGTCGTTTGAAAAGAATGTTGGTTTAACACTGCATGATGAAGGTCTCGTTCAGGACATGGAGCCAAACAGTGTCCACATGATTTGATTTGATACTTTTGGTCTGTAACCATCGTAGCTGTGGAATCGCAAATCCACCTGATCTGACGGCAAAAACATCTCGCATGTCTTCACCTGACCCGGGCTTACACTGTGTCAAGTACACGGCCTAAAGCAAGCATCCCGACATCGTACTGATCAAAAAACTGCCTTGTACAACTAACCATTAATATATATATATATATAACATATATATATATATATATGACACCCGGGAAGGGTATTGGCGATTCAATCTTTTTTCTGATCATCCGTTGTCCACATAATTTGATCACATTCAGCTTGAGCTGTCCATCTGCAGAATTTCATGTACAATAGCGTACTGTTTGCACTCAATGCCCTCACTTAGTTACAGGCACTTTTGTTAAGATCCTGATGATCAAAATCATCACTATGTTGAGATAAATAATTCAATGATTGTTTATTCCTGAGGATTTTACGTGGCTTGCTTAAACCTTGACAGATCATTTGCCATGGACTTGGACAACTTTCTTTGTGACTGACTTAGGCATTGACTTGGAATGGCCACAACGCGTAAGGCAAACTCTGTCTCCTTTTCAGTGTCAATTTTCTTATTTGGTTTCTTGTTAGTGATCTTCGTATTCTTCTTCCTGCTTCTTCTTCTGTTTCATGAAGCAAAACACACACAATCATATATCATTGGGCATGATCTGAAAATCTTGTATATTACATTGTATATGATTGCTTTTGTTCGCGTTGGTGCACAAAAACACAATTTCACCGCCTCACACGACAGGGAGGTCAGGAAAACCGCTGCAGGAACATGGAAACGGCTCGAAATGTTCCAACATAGTTGCTTCCCAAGCTGGAAGGTCTCCGACAACTTGATTGGAAAATCCGGTGTTGTGCACCATATGTGTACCCTTATAAGATTCTATAGGGAGGACTTTGACCGTTCTACCGCTCTGGACGAAACTTCCGAAAACCTCAGCTCCCAACTGAGCAGCAGGACACCAAAAGCTCCAGGAGCCCGTCGGCCCCATCCTCTTCCTGGAACGGCTCGATCCAACAACAGGCATTTGGTGGGTCAACATGAGTCCGAAGGTTTGACACCTACATACCTGCGAGAGGTGTGTCAACTGGGGAGAACCTCCAGGAACACTGTGTGCTTGGGAGTTGGAGGTCCTTTATTGTGATTTCACTCACAGCCACTGTCACATGAGGGTTGGTTAAACTATATACATATAACTGTATGGCCTCTCACCCCGGAAAACAATATACTACAACAACAGCAGCAGCAACAACAACAACAACTCAATTGACCAAAGAAAAGGGGTGGAGAAGTGCACCGCAAAAGTGCACTGCAAATTGCAGGACAGTAAATCCATTATACATCATGATACTGAAACCATCTGAAACCTGAAGGTACTGTAGATTAACCAACAAGGAACGTTCTCCTGCCCGAGAATGCTACATGTAGACAGAAAGGTTTCTTGGTGTCTATAGTAATTAACAAGAACACCTCGTGGATAATTTCACGTCACGAACATCTGGAGGAACCCCGAACCAAGTTGTTGACATCATGTTTAAAGTGTCCTGCATCTTGCTTGTGTGCTGACAAATCTCAAATAAGAGGGAGCTGTGGATACTTTTCCCAATATGCACTTTGAACAAGTAGTGGGCAAGTATGATCTATGGTTGCTGCCTAGTGTTGGATGGATGCATATTCCTGCCCACGCAACAACTGGTCTGGATCATGTTCCGGATTGCGGTCATTGAACCGTCGCATGAATATGTCCCTTTGACTGCCACGCCTCTTCCTCATGCTCGGGCCAAGCCGAGGATGAGGCGCTGGATAGGGCCTACCAGGCGGCAGCCGCGAGATGCAACTCAGCCCTAAGTTGTAGAAGGGGATGGATGGTTGATGTGGATTGCTTCCGGCTTCCCAAGGTCTCAAGCCCATCCTTTGCAACCCTGTGAGAAGTGATCAAAATAGATTGTCCCCCACAGGAAAATGGCATCTTCTGGTCAGGAAGACATAGCAAAAGTGTGAGCGACGTCCGTGTGTCCAACCCCTGAAACATCCTGAAACTTTGAAGCTTCAGAAATTGATGTAGTCAATGATTCTGTTCCGTGGCTATGCTTATGCTTCCACAAACCGTTGAACAAAAAAACACAACGGACGTTGACATGCTCTTGAGCAAGGAGCCGTGAAAGAATGAGAGTCGCAAAACGTTGCCATGAGGGCATCGCTGCTTCTAAAGAACAACGTCCACACCCAAGAAGAAACAATTCTGTCATCTTTCTCCGTTGTCAAACTGCCTGCTGTATTGAGTATGACTGACCGAGATAGTTCTGTGTTCGCATTGAAACTACTCCTGTTACACAGTTGGGTGTTTTTTGCCGCTTGCATACTGCTACAGCAGGATGTTGTGTACCCTGAGAAGATGGTGCCCTCGGGCCTCGGGTGCCCTCAAATCCGAAGGGAGTCCTGCTGTAAAGGCTCCAGTGATTCTTAGGCGTCCTAAAACGTCCTCAAACGCCCGCACTGCAAAGGCGCCTCTGTCGCCATCTCGATGACCCCATGCCCTGCGTCCGAAGTTGGGAACGCACCGTCCGTGGAGATCGGAGTAGAACCCTTGCTATGGCTATGACGATCCGTTTGCTGGTACCAAGAAACCCAGTCCAATAGCGCAGGGAGGAGAAGTTGTTTTGGTCCTCCTTGGGGGGCGCCAAGTCAATAGAGGGTTAAGGGGGGGGATCCCCTGTAAAAGTTTGAGCAAAAGTGTTGGATAGGGTGTTATAAAGAATCTTACAAGAGATTTGTTGGGAGTGGTGTTGTGATTCTGGGTGATGTTGGAGGGTCCGCTCTGTGGTAGAGAGCAGTGAGATTCATGTACATAATGAGATTGTGAGGGATCGAAAGAATGGTAAGGATAAAACATGCATAATTGTTGACATCAAATGATTAACCCGTATTAACAACACTCTTGCCTGAACTGTTGGTAGTTGCAGCACTCAAAAATGGAACCCAACAACACTGGGGGGCTTTGGGGAAATGTTTTGGGACATTTCACTCGGATAAAGTCTGACAGGTTCTCGCTTTAACTTAACTGACAGGTGCTTTCGGTTAGAGCTGCTTCCATCCTGCGAGTTCTAAGTAAGTAAGCCCACACTTGGACTTGGACCACAAAAGGGTGCGTGAGGGTTAGAAAGTGCCCTGAGTTTATACCCTGACATGGCCCCAAACTGGGCGTGTAGGGTTAGGCTAAGGTTTCCCGTGGGTTGGGCCGCAAAAAGGTGTTCACACCCACTCGTAGTATACAAATGGATATTGCCACCGGAAAGCCAAGTGTCCTATGTGCCAGTACTTTGTCGCGTGCATATAGCACCGGATGTCCTCTTCATCTTATCACAGAATGATTAGTATCACACGCAAGTGCACATAGTAGCCTTTGTGAGAAAGGCGTTCTATTCTTCCTGTTGTTTGGAACAGTTCTCCGAACACCAATTGCTAAGAAGCGTTGGGGCTTTCATCTGGTGCCACAAAGACCCCAGGCTGGTAGCACCAAACCTCGTAGCAAATGCCCCAGAGTTTCTCGAAGCTCGCTGTCCTGCGAACGACCAGGCTATGAAGTTTTCTTCAAACCAGGCATGCTTTGGAGGACTGATGTTTCTGGTGCTGTTGAATCCCTTTGCTGGTGCAACAATCCCACCAACATCAATGCACAACAAACTGTCCAAACTCCTTTTTGGTGCTGATACGACTCGATGACTCCCCGGTATTGTGGCAATTATGTGACCATGGTGTCTGGGTTGCACTAAATCATCCCGGCAATGATGTATTCTTGATCCCAACCACAGGTCAACAAAAAAGGTACAGTGCTTCATCCCTCTGGTGCAGTTAAATAGCGTTTGACAAATCTGTTTGAAAGAACAACCGCTTGAACATCTTGAACCCAAATCATTACAGCACATTTGGACTTCAGCCAACATCCATGCAGCGCAGGGGCCCATGAACAACAAGAAGTCATGCTTATATGATATATAATGCATAATATATATAGAATTATATATAATTGTATGTTTTATGTAATATTGATACACATACTGTGACACTCAAATTTAGCCTCCAACTACCTATAGCTGCTGCAAATACCAGTGGGGACCTTCAGGACCACACTTTTTGCGTTTTTTGGCCTTCCGAACTTGAACCCTTCTATATACGTCCAACAAGCAACGGGCAAGAACTGTGGTGCCGCACGTCCTCCAGAACTCCTTGCCTCTCCAAGGACTGCATCTCTCGTGCCAGCGCCTCTGCGAACGGAGTCTGCGTATTGAATTATTGGAAAGATTCATGCCTTGTCTTTTGGCCATGCCATTGGGGTAACTGGAGGCCTCTGGTTTCCAGCAGCACACAAATGGCTGTGCTCTGCATTGCTTGAGCCTGGAGGGAATTAAGAAACCAACTGAGCCACTGGCAAATGCGAAAAAACATCCTGTGTAGAGGGATCTGTCCAGGATCGATAGGTCTGACAAAGTGGTCAAGTGTGGCTCAAGGGAATCTGAGACCAACGAAGGTGAACATTGCAAACAACATCACTTCCCAAGCAACCAGTTGGCCCCTTCCTGTAGAGGATGTTCTCCTTCCGGTGGGACTACAGTACTCATGGTGACTTCAGGGAAGTGTGTACTCTTTTCAATCTTGGTGGGATAACTGCATGGAAGGACAACCTGATCCACAGCCAAGCTAGTCTGCAAGCTGCTCATCATCAGCGCTTTTTCCACCAATAACTGCATGACCTTCAGGTTTGCCATCTCACCAATTGGTATGGTGTCATGCGGGGCTCTGGTTGCAACAAAGCTGAGAACGGGCGCATTTTGAGGCTCCAAAAGCCGTGAAGCTTCTCTAAAAGGTGGTCTCGACGTCCACCGTGAGATTCATCACTAGCTTTCCCAAAACAGACTGGGATCTTGTGATCTCCCCCAAAATGTCAAACGGACACAGGATTGTTGCAAGTTGTTTGTCGTCTCTGAAAGAACTTCCTGCTTCCACGGTCTACAAACACATCCTCCTTCTGCCTTCTTCCTGGGTGCCCGAAACGCCTGTGACGCTTTGGAAACATCGTGCTGTAGTAAAGGCTCCTAGTGGATCGGACGTGGACCGTTATGAGCCTCACACCAGTTGTGTTTTCCCCTTAAACAGAAAAAACAAACTGTGTGCCGTAGTTGTAGACTTTGTTGGTTCACTGTTCAAGCGGTCCGGGAACAAGAATGAATTGTATAGATGAAAACGGATGATCACGCGCATTATATAAATGTATGACTCTGAATGAAAAATGGACACAAACACACAGCGAAATTTGCAAGCTCAGGAATGAGCATCAAGCCAAAGTGTTTGTTTCTGAAAAAGTCCTCTCCATCGATCATGGCAGACTTCTTGGCACTCCATTTGCTGGCAGCCTGCAAGATGCGTGAAGGTGTTAGGTGTTGAGTGCTTAATGCGGGTATGCTAAAGTACTTGATCACTATTGCACGTGATTATATGTATACGTGTCAATAGAATCGAGAAAGCTGCATGTAACAATGCAGAAAATAACAACACAATAAAACAATGACAAAAGACGCAACCACAGCTGCATTTTGTAGAACTTGATATCATAGAAAAACCTACCATCTCCCACACCAAGCCATGTTTGCCATTTGCTGCTGATTGTCCAGGCACGAGACCTGTGCCATCAACTGGGACTCAAGCAGTTGCACCACCAGAATAGAAACAACATGTGTTTCAGCAAATGACTTGTGAGCATTAACACCTCTACCGCCTCTACCTCCCTACCTTAACCTTCGAAGAAGTCACCGAACGAACTCCTATCCAAGAAAGTATTTGTCATTGTCATTGTCATGACAATGACTCAATATCATGACTCAATGACAAAAGATGACAAAAGTCTTTTGGTCATCTTATGTCATTGTCATTGGAGGGACAAACTCCGATGCCGAACTTGCTGGCGATTCCTCGCACCTGCCCCGCCTCTCGCAGGGAGGACGCAGCCAAATGCACTCCCAAAAGGGATGTCCGTGACCTAAAAGGCATTTTTGCAGACCGGACCGAATGAGAAAAACACCTCCCGGTGGGATAGTACCACAAACGGCTGAAGGTAGAATATTCCGGAATTCGATGGCCTAAAAGAAAGGGGAGGGAGGGGAAAAGTTAATATGTGTGCATATGATTGCATATGTATGCCATGGCCATCTCCACCACATGAGAGTGCAAAGTGTTTAAAGTAGTCAAGGACCTCTGAATCAAATCCAATGATAAGGAAAAAAAACCCTCAACACAAAAAGGAATGGTTGTTTACCTGGTTGGTGTCTATCTGTTCTCCTTCAGGTTTACCACCCAATGTCTGCCAGGTTCGGTCATTACATTCACATCAAGGGGTGAATGATGGTGAATGAGTTCCCCACAGATCCTCTGTGGAATCAGGGATTTGCCCTACATCACACACACAATCCATCAACCACACACACTCTACACACTACAGACTCTGTGAAATGTCTAAGCAGTTCTTGACCAAGCGATCTAACATACACAAACGTGAATGGGACCATAGGTCACATCAAAACAGAATGAGATGAGAAGAACATTGTTGGTCTTGGAAGACCTGTGTGTGCTTACACTTTTTCACAACCAACAAACCTAAAACATCACCTGAAGGGACGATGGGACATGGTCCTGTAGGTGCAGCTAAGTGACGAACTGCTATCCGCCTGCCAGGGCATCCCGTTTTGGATGTTGGACATGGTCACCTCCAAAGAGTAAAAATCCGCAAGGCTCCCTGAATCACTGATAAAGGGTTTCTCACTTTGTTGCCAGGCAGCTAGGAGCAATCTCGTGGACCCAGAATTTCCACCTTATGAATCCTTCTTGGATCCTTCGGGACCACTTCAATCACAAAGCCATTCTTGCAAAGGTAACCAGGTAGGCATGCTTTGGCTCGCCCAAACGTACCACATGACGTGCGACCAGTTTGCAAACTCGCGTGCGTGTGAAACTGAAGAAGGAAAGCATAAGTAAGTGGAAGTGAACAGAAGTCTCATGTCTTCAATTGAACCCAAACGTTGACTTCCAGAGCAAATATATACTTATCCAGAAATACGGTCTGACAATTGCAACCCAATCAAACACGATCTTAGGATTAAACGTCTCAAGCAATCCACCTCACTGAAGCTCAGCGCGTCAGTGCGCTACAGTTTCTCCGTTCCAGTGCGCGGCCGCGGGCCTCCTCGCAGGATTTGAGAGCCTCTGCCTCCAAGTACCAGGCCTGGCAGGAAGACCGGCAGCATGTGTAACAGCGGGAATCACCACAGCGAGCTGAAACACTTAGAGTTGCAATGGCACCTTCAATGGGAGTCCTGCGACCACTGGTCTGTTGCGACCCCAAATAAGGCACTCTCTTCGCATGTCAATCAACAGTTGGATTGAAATATATATATATATATACGGCTGCAGTTAAGCTGCTTCGGCCACCAAGCTGAACCCACCACCTCCTTTACCTATATATATATATATACAGTATATAGCTTGACGTGTTTTCAACATGCCAAGACCACGATTTCTGGGGCAAATCGAAACCTTGATGTTTACCAACAAGTACAATATATATATATATTATATAATCATTGGCTGGCAGGTGAAACATGAAAAAAGGACTTTGCAATTTGTGTCAACTACGCCAAAAGGGATCAACAAACAAGAAACAGGATAAGCAAAACTGGGTGTGTTTGTGTGTGCTAAGTGCTAACCTCAAAAAGCACACAAGGCGCATTGGATAATCACTTCGACCTGCCACTGTTTACATGTAGGTGCAAAACCAACAAATACAGCGGCTTTTGACGACTTCCCGAGGTCCCCAAATGCGGAGCCACCTGCACTTCGCCCGCGGTCTTGGAGCGTGTCTTCTGCAGCAGCCGGGCCAATGGCTGACAGGCGTCGCTGAGGCGGTTTAGAGCCTGGCAAAAAGCAAAGTGGAAAAGGGAGCGCCCAGGAGGAAAGGTTTGGGGATCCGGGATGAGGTTTTCCCGATGCAGTGATTAACACATAGAAAAGGCGTTCATGATTGTTGAGGGGATTGAATAGATCTGAATCTATACTATCTATTTTGAGCTTCACTGCACAAGTAGCGTCAAGTAGCTTTTGGCACCAGGAGTTCATAGTCTTTTGGACCAATCCAATTGCTCGTGGTCTTCCGCAAAATCGGGATGTTCAGCTCAAGAAGCTCGAAGAAGTCTGGAACAAAACATGCCAAACTTCCTCAATAATCCAAGGGAACCACTGTCACTAATTGATCTCCCCATTCTGAAACCAATCAACTACAACCCCCAACCAAGGAAGGATGGAAGGAAGGAAGGAAGGAAGGGACATCCTCGCCGCTAATAACATTCCCCCATTTTGGCGAGACATTGGCCACCCTCCAGGGTCACTTCCGGCAAAGTGACCGGCGCACCCCACCACAACAGTCAAAACAAGAAACATCATCCAGTTCCGAGTAAGACAAGTTGATGAAGTTCTTTTGAGAGGTACCAAATTATTGTAGATTTCGATCAATGGGCTTAAACACTGGTTTTAAAACTATGAAACACCAAAACTCATTGCTTGGAAATAATGATATTTCAACTTTAATACCACGAGTACCATATACTACCGTCATATCATGTAGTATCCCTTTATAAAAGCTCCTCGTTAGAGGTTTATAAGGTAACATACCTGTTAAACTCACTATCTCAAACATCTCTTCACTCTTCCCTGCTCGGCTCTGCGCCTTCAACGCCTTGGCCAAACGGACTGCTGCCTTCACGTGCTGCGGATCGAGCTCCAAGCAGCGCTTGCTGTCTTCGGCCGAGTCTTCGAAGCGCCTGAGACGACGCCAAACGACTTTGGGATGACCTCTCAAAGTCTCGAAGTCACAAGGTCGAATGCTTGGAGGTCAGTCTTGGCCCAGTTGAAGAGGTCAGTCTTGTGACAATTCTATTATTTTTCATGCAGTAGAAAAGTCTGAGTGGCAAAACGCACACGCACCAAAGTCTGAAAACCCCCTGTAGGTGACTCATACTATGATGATGACAGTGCTTCTATTTTGGCTTGGGCCAGTTAGTTTCCCTGCTATACTGGATTTGGGTATATAGATAGTTTGGACCCACACTCAAATGTTCCCTATTGTTGTCTTCACATCACTTGTTCATAGGCGTGAAGACCACCACTGCTACCACCAAACTGCAATGGTCAATCACCTGAGTCGGGGAATCATAGGGGTCCTTTGTTGGAAATACTTTCCTTGTCTAGGATGGTTCTATATATTGCTTCTATGTTTTTCCTCTTCAGGTACCTCAGTCAAAGCTGAGGTGAAGGTATTGAATGCTCCTGTTTTTCTCTCTATTCAGGCCTTCAGGATCAGTGTCTCTGGTGCTGATATTTGTTTTTTTCCAAAATTGGTCTTGCAGCCCACCAGCTTATTTATTTATATATATATAGTTATATATGTACCCAACAAAAAACAAGGTGAGCCCGCGGACCCAAAGGCAAAAAGAAGCGCACAGCCCAGGAAAAATATACAAACACACATTAGCAGGCCAAAACGAAGCATCAGCCCCCTCCAGGCTTCGTGGCAACCATGATATTTCAAGCATCGCGGTTCTGGTGCACATCCGTCCACCCCTGTCTGCCATATACACCCCCGTCCACCCCTTGGTCAGCTTTGGAAGCCCTCCAAAACGATCATCAAGCGATTGCAACATGGCTTCTGACAACCGTTCCAGGAAGCATGGAGCAGCATCAGCCCCCTCCATGGTTCCTTCCAACCATCCAATTTCACGCATTGCCGCTTTTGGCACGCAACAATGCTGCCGTGTTGGCCATGACTTGACTGTCTGGCACATGCATTCATTGTGCACATTTTGGACACCCAACACCATCGTATCAGCCCCGCAACACAGCTCCACTCACCTCCAACGCGCTTCCGCGAAGCATGGAGCAGCACTACCCCCACCCATGCTTCGTTCTACTTGTGCACTGACTCGGAGCAGCCTGCAATGATGCTTGTGGTGCAACTCCCCGTCCCCACCCATGCGCCTCGCTCCCTCCCGTCTCGCTCTCCTCCATCTTCCCTCCCCAGCCCCGTCCCCATCCATGCACCTCCCGTCTCGCTCCCCTCCATCTTCCCTCCCCAGCCCCGTCCCACCCATGCGCCTCCCGTCTCGCTCCCCTCCATCTTCCCTCCCCAGCCCCGTCCACACCCATGAGCAATGCACCTCTCGCTCCCCTCCATCTTCCCTCCTCAGCCGTCCCTACCCATGCGCCTCCCGTCTCGCTCCCCTCCATCTTCCCTCCCCAGCCCCGTCCCCACCCATGCGCCTCCTGTCTCGCTCCCCCTCCATCTTCCCTCCCCAACCCGGTCTCGCTCCTCCATCTTCCCTCCCCATCCATGCACCTCCCGTCTCGCTCCCCTCCATCTTCTCTCCCCAGCCCCGTCCACACCCATGGGCAATGCACCTCTCGCTCTTCCCTCCTCAGCCGTCCCCACCCATGCGCCTCCCGTCTCGCTCCCCTCCAATCTTCCCTCCCCAGCCCCGTCCCCACCCATGCGCCTCCTGTCTCGCTCCCCCTCCATCTTCCCTCCCCAACCCGGTCTCGCTCCCCTCCATCTTCCCTCCCCAGCCCCGTCCCCATCCATGCGCCTCCCGTCTCGCTCCCCTCCATCTTCCCTCCCCAGCCCCGTCCCCACCCATGCACCTCCCGTCTCGCTCCCCCACCCGTCTCGCTCCCCTCCATCTTCCGTCCCCACCCCCGTCCCCACCCATGCGCCTCCCGTCTCGCACACCCATGCACCTCCCCACCCATGCGCCTCCCTTCCTTCCCCTCCCTCTTCCCTTCCCAACCCCGTCCACCTCCACATCCATCTTCCGTCCCCGACAACGCATGCTGTGTCTCGCTCTTCCGCAGCACTAGCGACTAAACAAGAACCCAAGCATCGGAGATGCTTTTGGGAAAACAACTCGTGGGATTCCTGACATTGTAGGACCACCAATGTCAGCACCAAACTAGAAAGGCGGGCAGCAAACAAAGCAACCAGGACATCCAGGACAACCCAAACAAGATCAGCAACCATCAAGCTTCCTGTTGTAGAAGTCGTTGAGAGAAAGGTGTAGTCTATCTGAGTCTATATATAAAGATTGCAATTTCACCAACTATCCAAATCCCAAAGAAGTGAAGCAACCAGAATATATCCGTTGTTCTGTCAAACCTACAGGATTCTCCAGCTACTAGTTGGTCACCTCACGCGCCAAGAAGCTGTAGCCGTAGACGCGCCTCAGCTCGATTGGCCAACAGCGCCACCTGGGAGCAAACCATCGACTGATCGCCCGATGCTTCCGGTTCATTGGGCAGGTTTGGGTTTAAACCACAGGGTAGTACCCAAGGGTATCCTTTTTAGAAGGGGAATATATGTAGAAGATATCCTTTTGAAAGATACATATATATATATATATCATCAAAGAAACACAACACATACAGAACATTACAGAACTAAAACACTAAGAACCACCAACAGAAACAGTGCAAGAAAATGGTGATTCCTTGAGGTACTGTCCTTCCCAAAAAGCATGGAAGCTGAAAAGGACAGCACGTAGATCAAAATGGCCTGGCCTGAGAAGCCACGATTCTCATGAATGTCTTTGACTGATCCCACCAGGAAAATACTGTCTTTACCCTTCCACCTGCTGAAATCGACCCGCAAAAACAGCCTCAAGCATCACTCGGGCAACAACGCAACAACTGGACGGGATGGATATGCCCGCCCGGTGATGGTAGGGGGAAGTAACTGTCTTTTTTCTGGCTCGTTATGTTAGGAAAGGGGGGTACCCCGCTCTGGCCAGTCCCTCTGTGATCCTGCCTGCAACTCCTTGAGCTCTTGGGAGGATCTGATTGCATTCTCATAACCTAAGCGATGTGACGGCCTTCAAACATTGCCAAAACTATAAACTATCCAAAACTATTCTCCGTCACGGCCGTATGCATCGGAGCTTCCAATGGAGTTTAAATGTTTGGGGGTTGTTGGTGATTGTCATAATGGTGGTCGAACAAAGATCAGCAAGCTTTTTGAACCATGATTGAAATTATGGTCTTTGGACATGGATGGACATGGGACAAAATGGTATAAATATAAATAGACCCAACATCTTGATACAAACACTGATGAGGAAACCAAAGAACGTCTCGAGGCACCACAGAAACCTTCTCCGCCTCCTCTTCTTATATCGTCCTTTGTCTTTCCTAACTCCATGCTCATGTATTGCTGCTGTGAAGAAATCGAAGGCCACCAACGACGAGTGGTTGCAATTCAGCAGCCCTCCATCGATGCCAAGCCATTTCCTGAGCATGCTCTCAGCAGTAGAAAGGTATTGATGTGTTCGGCATCAATGTCTGTTGAAGATCTTGGAAGGTTTACATTCAAGTCCTCGGGTGGCTCATGTTTTCGACTGAAATTTACTGACTCTGCGACTCTACTTCACAACTCTGGACCGATTTAAAGTTTAAAGCCTTCAAACGTTTGATTCAAGTAGAGTAGGGCTACTTGTCAAAGGAACATGGTCCACATTGGTCCACCATCATTGATTTAGATAAGCGAAGAACTGTGTTCGCCTATTGGGACCATGGTCATCTCGACCTTAGAAAAGCACAGTCGTAATTGACCGGTTCCGACGGTCAGGTCCAAGTCGGTCCAAGCAACAAAAGGACGCTACGAACGGAGCAAGGATGCTACGAACGGGGCTCCTGGCCTTACTAGTAACAAGAAGCTGCGATGCACTTGTGAACAAGAAGCTAGTAGAAACAAGTGCATCGCTACTAGTAACAAGTGCCTTACTACTAGTAACAAGAAGCTACTAGGAACAAGAAGCTACAGTAGCTTGTGGAACAGGTCCAAGCTTCCATAGAGTTCTTCCGCGTCTGCAGGTCGATTGGCCTTCATGGCCGAATTTCCCTCCTGGAAAGGCAGAGGGGACAACCGACAGGTGCAAAAAGATGCAAAAAGATGCAAAAGAAGGTGCAAACAGTACGCATAAAACCTGCGACCCCAAGATGATGAGATACAGCACAATGAGGTTCCAAACAAACCTACCCCCAACATCATCTCGGTATCGGATCATCAAAAAAGGCCGCCTAATGCGGCAGATTCACGGGTTTTATCAGGTTGTTGTATCCCCGTTGCTACGGACTACTGAGGTTCACCCCTCAATGTTATTTAAACATTGGTCATCTAAAATGACTGGCAAGACTTAAAAACCAATATACATATCATGTTACTTAAAAGTGCAAAAAGCATACCACTTTCTGTCGTGACACTGGCTAATTTGACTGTGCAAAGAGTTCATCCGTCTCATCCACTTACGAAAGACTCATTTTTTTTTGACCCATGATAACCCATGATAACCCTTAAACTAAATGAGCCAAACAAATGGGTTTTCCGCTGTCGACCACACTCATTTTAGCTAACCGGCAGCAACGGGGATGTTTCTATACATGGCATGTCTTGTGGTACCTACCTGATGTTCCAGGTAGTGGATGTCCAAATCTCAGAATTTGTCCGACTTGTCCAAGTCCTTTCTGGATTCACCTCAAACTGCCAAAGCCGGGCCTCCTTCAATTTGCCGGAAAGGTTCTGGAAATGTTCCACCCAATCGATGTGCTTGACCTCAAGAGCTTCTAGTTCGAGTCGGTCCAACTCGGTCCAAGTCGCTTGACCTCAAAATGTTGGTCCATCTGTGGTACCTCGAAATTGCCATCACCGACCTCCAACCGAGCGTTGCAGGACATGGCATCTCTCAGGAGTCAGTTGCAATTGTCAGGAAGAAAGTGTTGTCTGGTGCTTGGCACGAAAGTGGACTGCAAAATACTGCAAAGAATGGATGTAGAGGTTCAGAGAAGAGGTTCGTACTTTAAACATCTTTAAGTATCAATTGTTGTTCAATGAAGTGCGACTCCAAACAGTGATGGGGAAAGCAACGGCTTTGAGACGTCCAGGAGTCTCCAGGAAGCTGTTCCCTCGGGGACAAGGTGAGCACCTCCCAGAGGTCGAGACATGTCGAGACTCGGTTGTAGGCCATCGCTACTAGGAACAAGAAGCTACTACTAGCTCCTGGCATTACTACTATCAAAGACGCTACCCGTTTCTTCCTCCTAGGTCAACCTTCACATCGGAATAGAGGAGTCCTCCCACCAGTCCTCGTCTATGTCTATATTTGGACCCGCCCTCTGGACCCTGGACAGTGGTGTTGGGTGTGGTGGACATTTGAAGTCCGGTGTTTTCCTGGTAGACTTGGGGATTTCACACGTCAAATCGCCACATCTGGCAGATCTCGTGATGGCCAGAAGCACCAAGTCACAAAGCTTGGTGCTGGTGGAGGACCATAAAAGCCTCGGAGATGAAAACACCGAACTGGGGGAATTGATCAACCAACAGTGATGTTTGGCTGCTGGAGTGCCTGGAATCTCTGTCCCAACCAGTATAGATTCCATTAAATTCCTAATCATGGCGGTTTCCACATAAATCAAGTTCAAAGGGATCTTTAGCTTGGTCTATCCTTTGCTATGTGCACACAAACAGAGTGTATGTATGGGACCCGTCTACATCCGAAAGCTTCAAGAAATCGTTCAATGGTGCTTCAGCTTGCGTGATCTTACGTGCTACACGGCTGGGAGATCTCTGTGTAGAAGCGGATGTCAGTCAGCCGTGCGAATAAGAATAATGAGTCACGCTATGTTTTGTTTGGAATTTGCGAAACGTACTTTTGGTCGATTGCATTTGGTCAGGGCAATGTGGAATGGCACCACTGGCAATATCAATGTCCTTTCCATCAAACTGCCATCAAAGGGGCTTTGAATCTGTGAACATGCAAGCTGTTTCAAAGCCATCTGATGGTGGTCTGTGAATCGTGCATTGCTGAGGTCCGGAAAAAGTGACAAATGTCATGGCCTTTGTGGGAAAACAACAACTGGTTGGTTGCCCGAGTTTCACAAAATGTCAATAAGAATACCCCAAAGATACCCAAAGCCCGGTCATATCGTGACCAACAAAAATGGGTTCGCGGTGCCTTTATTTCTCGTCACAGGCACATTGCCAACGACCCTCTTCTGGGATGAGGAGATCTTCACAGCGGAGGCCATAGAACGGCTTCCGGTCCTCCAGCCGAACAGCGTGGGCAGGTGATACCGGACAGCGGCGTCCGCACCGTGGACGTCATGGATATTAAAATGGGATCTGCATCCCACAGAATACTACCATGAAAACAGGAGCGAAAGTAACATTAAGCGATTGCATTTCTCATCACGAAATATAACGACTAATTCATTAACATGTGTGCGTCTTTCCCAACAGGGCGCTCCTGACTCATGGAAGGATGGCTGTGTTGGTTCCTACCGTCCGGGATCCATTGGGTGATGAATGCTACCCGTGTCCAGCGGCCCCACAAGCCCGGGTGGCGCTGGTCCTTGGACAGCAACCAGCCAAAGTGGCGCTGCTCCTGTGTTCTTTTTTGAACACGGGAAGGTGCTGAAACGTCTGCATATAATGTCTTGGAACGCTATTAACTACACTTGAATTGGGCATGGCAATCAGTGGCTTGAAGCTCAAAGCCACATACACGGCAGCAAGAACTCTGCTCGTCTGAATGAGGGGGCACTATAAGCTGCTATGTTCGACTAGCTTGGACTGGCTGCTGGTAGGTCTTTAAGTCCCACCTAGGCACACAGCTCTCATAATTTGACATAGACCTTCTGATCTTGCCCTTGAAACATATATATACGTGAAGGTCAAGGAAATTATAGTCTGCTGTAAACTTTTTAAGCCTCGGGGGGTAGGCCGCTAGAAGAGATAGCTAGTAGCTTAAGTAAGCTCTTTGGTAGGACGCAAGCTCACGCTTCTTCAAGGAAGCGCTCACACTATATAATCGTTTGGTTCCTAGACTTTGGGGGGAACTTAACGATGCTACGAACATCATCTTACATCAACAATGCAGAGAGGTAGTTCTAATCCAAACATGGTCTCTCAAAATGTATTGAAAGAAAGGGGCTGCAACACATACGCATGAATCGGCATGAAAAGTTCTAGAACTTGAGATAATACCTGTTGATTAGATGGTGGCTCAGCTTCCAACAAGGAAACTTCACAAACCTGCAAAATTAAATGCGCAAGTTCTCATACTGTCTTCTTTTCTGGGCCAATCTTTGCCAGTCCTCCTCACCAATCTGTTCCAACTCAGGCACCTCGAATGTCCAATGACATGGGCATCTGTGCAAGAAATCCACCGGTTTCAGAATTTGTTACGATAGTGTCGGTTGCCCAGCAGAAATCCCGGCCAAATCCCTGGGACTGCCAGGAACTCCGTGTCCGGGAGGAGGAACTGTGTGGAGGAGGAACCACCTCCACTTCCTTACCCCACAGTTGGAACTGATCTTACCATATCTTACCTATTCTCTTGGCAAATTCCTACTTACACTGGTCAGTCGAAGCAACCCAATCAGTTTGTCTACTTTTCTCCCACGAAGAGTTGAATTTTAAGTAGTTTCAGGTTTGCAACACATCCCGACTCGTTTTCGAGCCGGACTACGTCGAGTCCATCGGATTCTTTCAGAACTTCTTGCTAGGTCCAAGCAGTACAGCGAATCATCATTGTACTTAATGATCACTGACATTCAGAACACATCTAAGTTTTTAGCAATTCTAAGCGTAGATCAATTAGATCTCTATGATCTCTATGTGAATTGTAAATCCACCCTGAACCCTCTCACCTAGAAAGCAGTCTTTCATGCACCCTGCTTTCCAGGCCCACTCTCACTCCCTTTCCCCAGTCAGTGGCACCCGGTCACGATGCAGCACCCACCCGCTGCTGTTTTCATAGACTGGCGCCCCGCTGGCGGAGGCCTCACGGAAGGTATAACGCCCATCGCAGGACGCCACGCCGCAGCCAGAGACTTCGTAGCCACCTGAGAGAAAATGGTGACTGATCTCCAATCGTGCCATGCGGAAATGGAAGGCAAATGTACGTGGGAATGAGGGTGACATTCATCTGGCAAAAGCATTCCCTTCCAGCAACGGGATGTGAATGTGTGGCACTATACTTATCTATACTCCGTGCGCGTAAATGAAAGCACAAGCTGGGTATTCAACAAATGTCCAACATACAATTTCACTCTCTTCAAGCTTTCAGCAGCTATAAACACTCTGCTCCGCCAGCGATTTGGACCTACACCGCCCTGCTTCCCAGCAACTGGCCGTGTCTACGAGTTGTCCCTCCAGCTGCTCCTGCGCGTGCCGCCGCCGGGCCAAGGCCGCCAAGTCCTGGTCCTCGTGGGTGGAGAGCGCCGTGCGGCTCTCCTGAACCTTCCTCGGTCGCTCCACTCGGTCGCTCTCCCCACAGCTCCACACGGCTCCACGGGTGCGGTGGGGCCACAGAATGCCCATTCTGATGGGTCTGCGGGGATTCGTTACTGCTCCTCAAAGGAGCCTTTACGGCGGCAGAAGGAGCTTCCTTGATGAGCTATCCGCAGTCCTAGCTTACTTAATTAAGCTACTAGCTACAGTACCTCTTCCTCTTAGCTTACAGTAAAAGAAACAAACTATACTAACGCCCTAAAAAGAAAAAACAATCCCAGTGACATCTTCATCTCATTCTCAAAGTCCTCTGCCTCCTGCTCCTCTGCACGTTGCCTCCGTTCGTCTTCGCGATGTGCATGGATCTGCCGCAAGGCTTTCCTGAGACTCCGGCGATTTGCGTTAACCCATGATCATTGATTGTGATAGTTTGGTCTTTGATTGTGATAGT